ATGACACCAAGGAGCGCTGTGGCAGCTCCAACCTTCAGGAGAAGCACCACAGCATATCCACTTCGGTTCGTGGCCAGGTGTGCAGAGCCATCGGTATACACATGTATCTCACCTTTACACGTGAAGAGGTCTGGCAGGAGGTCAGACCAGTGAACAGTATCCTTGACTGCCTCAGCTGCTGCAGGATGTAGTTGGGTCTGGTCAAAGTCCCATTTCATCCAGGTCGGGCTCCACGGACAGAAAAGGTGTCGCAAGTCCTCGTAGGAGTGGGGCCACTGTAGCACGGTGCGGGTGAGGTCGTACCGGGGGGCCTCGATCAAGTCGCCCAGTTGGATGGTGGTAGTAGCGCCCTCTGCATTCGATCGCCTTGGTGAACGGCTGCGATTCACCGGTCGGGGTGGTGGAGGTCCGCGCGGGGCATCATCACTGGGTGGGGATGGTGTGGTGAACTCGCTAGACTCCGGAAGGGCATCATGGCCCTCAGAGCTGTCATCCATGTCATCGTCCTCCTCGTTGTTTCCATCCGAGCCAGAGGACCGATGAGAATTTGGAGTGGGCGTAAGCTCACTGGTCTCCTTCATAAAGAAGTTGAGGGTTTCACCATCTTGAACTCGTAGTACCTCTGGATCATTGGTGCTTTCCCCTCCCTCAACGACTATAGTCCAGCCTTCAACGTTGGGGGCTTGAATTCCTTGCAGGTACTCAACCGTGTTGAAGTACTGACCAGGGAGCCAAACCCATTGCGGGAAAAATCCAAGTCCACGTATATCAAGGAATGCCACCACTGCTTCCGGGTCATCTTCCTTGGTACTTCGAGGTCCCGGGTGGACTGCAATCTGGGTAGCAACCATCCGCCCTGCGTGGCAAAGCGACTCTGCCGGTCTTGACGGTGAGGAAGTCCAACATTGACCAGGCGGGTACCCCATGAGCTGCTCAGCCAGCGTGGTTCGATGCTCTTCCGCACCAGGCAAGTCCTCATAGACAAGTTGGTCCTCTGGGCTCTGGTAGACAACATGCCGACTGTGGTCTCCTGTCGGTATCCCCGCTCTCGGTGACCACCAAAGCGGGTCCTCAAGTCTCGGGTGGATCAGACCCTCCCAGTCACAAGGCTCATCGCGGTAGACAGTCTTTATGACACCACCCTGCACTGGATCACGGGGTTGGTCATCCAGGCGTTGCAAACCTCCGAAGGCATAAAAGTCGACCGAGTTCTCGTCCTCCGTAGGCACCTGTCCTTTCACTGCATTCCTGGTCAATGCACCTTCAATGTAGAAAGGGAAGGCATGTCCTCCAATGGCACGGTTGTCGATCACCAGCACAGATTTTCCGACTGCTGGGATCCAGGCTGGGATCGCTACACAACTCCCATAATATGGCCCAATTTGGGGGGTCGTGGCAATGTAGGATTCCGCCCAATCTGGCATTTCAGTGCTGGTGCCCTTCACCGCATCGCAGAACCGTTGTATTGACATCGGGAAAGCAATCCCAATATCCAAGGCCTCAGCAGCAAAGAAGGGCGATGCGACCCAGACCGATATGTGGGTGGCTCTTCTGTCCTCAGCCGTAAGGGGAGCAGGCCCCAAATCTTCCCTGAAGGCTGATGTCTCAAGCTGGTCCGGGGCCGTCTCGCCTGCAGAGTGGTACAGCGGTCTTTGATTCAGCCATCTCGCTTCCGCCTGTAGTAGTTGCTCTCGTTCTGTGAGTTGTCCAGCCATCCAGAGCTCCAAATCTGTAGCACGGGGAACAGGGGTTAAGGCCATTTCGTTGACGATTGGTTGGCCTCTTGCTTCCGTGGCAGTGTGGCGATTGCCGGTTGCTCCACCCACCGTCAGTGCTTGGAAGGCCAAAATCACTTTCAGATTGGTACCAGCAGCAAGTCGCCTCGTGGGCCCTCTCATTTGTGACTGCTTGCACGCTGCAGTTGCAAGGAGCAACCCGAGCGCACATAGCTGGATCAAGTGCAGGCTGCCCACCCATCCCCATGATGGGCCCTGGCAGAGTAGGCTCATAGCAATAATGGCTGCATATCGCCACCACACATGCTCAGCAGAACATTCTGTATCTTTGCTCTCCACTTGAATGGCTGGGGCAAGCCGGACGTGGCCTCCCGAAGGGCCGTGCCGCTTGCTCAACTTTCGGGTAGCGTCCCTGCTGAGGTGCCGGAGACGGCTGTGGGCCACCCAAGGTCCATCATCCTTAATCCAATCCGGCAGCTCTTCACGATGGGAAGCTCCAAAAACGTCTGGGGCTGCCATACCAAACAGCCATTCAACCCACTCATCTTCCTTCAGGACGGACCGAAAAAGCCCGAAGGGGTAGATGTCTGTATCTTCCTGTTGCCAATGTAAGATGCGAACAGGACTCCAAAAGGGATTGGGAGTGGTCCAAGCCGTGGACACTCCAGCAGGAACAGACCGAAAAGGTCCTGCATATTCATATGTTCGGCCACAAAGGCCTTCGCAGGCTACTCCGCGTTTTCCTGCTCGGGACCATTGGCCAACTCTGCAATGCGGATGTTCTCGTCCTCGGAGTCGTCTTCCTCGATCTCGTGGATCTTCTGCATCGCTTCGGCACGTCTCTCCGCGAGCCTGCGGGATAATGGGGTGCCCGACTGTTTGGCAATCGTAGGTCGCCTGCCCATGTACTTGATCGGCGTACGGGTCGAGGACCTTGACTTGGACCTGGGCTCCCTGGTAGAAGGTGGCGAGGGCAACAGGTTGTTCGTGGAGGGAGACATCATGTACGGGTCCCTGTGGATCTGCTCGTTGCCAGCAGTCGCCGTATCCACCTCCATAGCTGCAGTTGCCCGTGTAGGAGCCAAGGATGGCGCAGGTGGGGTCCGAGGTGCAGGGGCTGAGGCCCGCCTGTCGGGGGTCTTCGGGCACTCTTGCCGATGGCCATGCTCCTCGAGCACTGCGAGGATAGTCTGTCGGGCACCCTCCTTCGTCATCTCCTCCTTCTTGCACGCTTCGAAGAGGATCTCCGCCAAGTCGGGCTCCTTGTCTTTCTTGGGCGGCTGGAGTAGTTTGCGCAACTCGTCGATCGCCTCCATGTCCGAAGTTGGTACATCCTTGGTCACCTTCTTGGTCTGGAACATGGTATCCTTGAGCTCTGCAAGGGCCGCCTCCTTGTTCGCCAAGCTCTCCTCGATGACCTCTGCCATCCGCTCCTTCTTCTCCTTGTATCGGCGTCGTTCCGTCAGGTAGGACTCTTGGAGGTTCTGTTGGAAGAGCTCCCACTTTGCATCCAGGTTCTTGTCCTCCTCCTCTGCTCGGCGTATCTTCGTCACCGCCCTTCGCAGGCCATTGAGGACTTTCTGGACACCAGTGACATAATAGCCAGCAGTGGGGTTCTCCTCCTCGTCCACCACCACAGTCTGCACTGCCCGGCCATCTTTGTCCTTCCGGGCGAGTGACATCTCCTCGAACGACGGGAAGGCCGAGGTCGAAGAAGGCGGTTGCTCCCACTCTTTCTCTGCTCTGGCCCCGCGAGGTTTCTGCTTGCCAGATCCCTTCGGCCATTGCCACCCTCCATACTGTGAGGAGGAGGATCTCCAGTCCGAGCCCGAGCCATAATCGTTGCCCCATTGGCTCTTGCGTCCCATGTGGTCGGCAAGCTTGTCCACGTAGCGAGGCCAACTGTGGTGGGCCTCAAGCAGTGCCCTGTCACGCACAGGGAATGGCTTTCCTGAAGCCCTGGCTCGTGCGATGCGCTGTCTGGCTTTGGCCCTGGAAGCTCGCAGCCTCCTATGCCACGCCGGAGATCGCAGGTGGGCTATGGCGACGTGTCAATTGGACACTTGGGGTCCCTGGCAATGTTTCCCGCTGTCGGGAGACTCGATCCAAGACCCTATATATATATATATATATATATAACAATATACATTCATACATAAACAAATCTGTTGAATCTCTCTTTCTCTCTCTCTCTCTCTCTCTCTCTCTCTTTCGCTCTCGTCGTTGCATCGACCTGTTCATCAAGTCACCCACGAAAAGCATGGTGTCATGCACTTACAGCAAAACCTTGACCTCGTTCTGAGTACGAGGCCGCTTGAACTTGTGGTCGAGCTGGAAAGTTTCGTATACCCTAAACCCATAAACCCTAGACCAGGACTTATAAGTACCATAACCCCAACTACATAACCTAACTAGGGTCCCTTTTCGGGTACTTATAAGTCTACTTACTACCCAGTTACTAAGTCCCCTGACCCTCCAAGTAAGATGCCCGGGTTGTGAGTGCTCAGGGTTAAGATGTCCGCTGCCATTCCCTGGCAACCTCGACCCTCGCGTAAAGACCCACAGCTGAGATACCCTAGTGGCCCTAGTTCCTGAGCAACCGAAATCACAATATTTTTGGTGAATAGGTACCTTACAGCATATAGTTACGTTTAGGGGTATAGGTTTTATAGACTGGGTATTATGCAAGGCCTTGATCCGTCCTGTCCTATTCGACTCGGTTCTGGGTAGGAGACCGAGAAGCCCGAAGCGCACCCTGCAGTCCTGAACGAGAGACCTGAACCGCGCACCATGAACCCTTTGCGCTAAACCCTGAGACCTAGATCAAGCCACATGGAGATCTGAATCTTTTGCAAGAGTTATCTCTTTGCCAGTTCACATTTGCTCTATCACAAACACCCCAAATCCTATGTTCTATTTTAACCAAGCACCTATATGAAACCTCCCTAAGCCCGAAACCCCGTAAAGACCCTTCATCTTTAGAGTCAGGAGCCAACGTCAATATTCCCAGAGGATCCGTATACACTGCTATTATGGAATTAGGCCCGAAAAGACCATGACCATTATGGTCTTGGGGACTTAATTCCACTATTATAGATCCGTTATTATAGCTGAGTGGATACACTTTACACTTTTGGGGTTAATAATGGCTACTCACTATGAAACTGAAAGTGTACACATGTTGGGGCTTATGAACTCAGCAACTAGGTAGACCCTGTTAAAGGAGCCCTTTGAAGGAACCCTATTCCAACTTACTGTAGCGAGGTCTTCGCTGTCTTCTTCTTGGCCATTGCCATGTGGGCCAGGGCCACAGTCAGGTGAACTTGGTTCCTTTAAAGGGTACGATAAGGGCTCCTTTAATCTAGACAAGTTCCTTTAAAGGGTACTATAGGGGGGGGCTTAGGTACCTTAACCCTGAATAACCTACCTTTTTAAGCACTTATATAAGGAACTCATGATAAGGAGCCCTAAAAAGGTAGGTCCTTCAGGGTCTATGTAGGGTTTCGGGTTCAGGGTCGAGGGTTTAGGGTTTCGGGGTTATGGTTTCGGGTTGAGGTGTTCGGGGTTAGGGCTATCAGAGGCAGGCTCCATGATTCTAAAGCCTGTAGTGGCGATCCCTTGCACACCCAAGCCACAGCCCAAAAATCAAGGTGTACATGTCCTAAACCCTTTCTCCCCAAGTGCATTTACACAATATATATATTTATATGTACACACACATTTTTTCATATATATATATATATATATATATATATGTGTTTGTATTTCTTTATGTACATATACATATACACTTTAACATAAGGAACTATAACCTACTATACTATAGTACAATGTTTTGACCTAAGAGCATCTGCAGCAATACAGGTTATGGCCATCTGATCTAATGCTGCAGAATATATCATAGCAACATTTGATGTGACACCGTGTAATCGTAATATGCAAGATGGTTAAATATGGCATCTTGCATCATCACAGCATGTGATTTAACAGCAACATATCATAACATGATAACATACGTATGTTATCAGAGAGTATTTTAATACAACATGATATGGTATAAAGTCACACACTGTAGTTCACAACAATACCAGTACTATGCGGCATACTACAAAAGAATGCAACAGGGTACAAGCTATCCCAAGATACATATAGATATCCAAAAATGTATATATTTGTATGCGATCATGTATATACCCATATGTATGTATGTACAGGTACATGCATATGTATATGTGTACACATATGTATGTATCCTCGTATATTTTATGTTTGCATATGCCTGTATACCCCATGCAATCCCTAAAGCCCTTAACCCTGGCCCTAAACCTTAAACCCTAAACTGCTGAAACCTGGCAGGTGCTCCCCTTCGTGTTGATCAACCGCGGCATTTGCTGCTTCTTGGTTCAGCTTCGGGGGATCTACATCTAATGTTCAGTTTAGGGTTTAGGGTTTAGGGGTTGCGCTATAGGAAGCCCACATGTCAGTTGGGGTTCTGGGTGAAGGTGTTGATTTCTGGGGCTGTGGCGCGGATCCGACAGAGTCTAGCTTGCAGCCTGAATTCCGCTTCAGGGTTTCAGGTAGAAGTTAGGGTTTAGGGTTTAGGCTGTCGTCAACCATCAACTCTCCTGTTCCTAGCCTGGTGTCTGGGGTTTCGGGGGTCGATGCTCCACGATGAGCCTTGTATCCGAATGCCTTGATGTGAAAGCTACAGCTTACCTGCAAAGTCCACATACCCAACGATTACATACTCGTGTTGAGGAAGCCCTCAGCATAAGGTCCTGATAGAACCGTCATACCACGCCGGAGGAGTCCTTCCCTAAACCCCCCAACCCCCTAAATCCTAGACCCCCCCTAAACAATCCTAAACAAACTTGTTTGTCGAAGCTTCATTGAGGCAGATGCTTTCAGCGCTGGCTGTCCCGGCATCTCAGCTGGCCCTCCCGTCTGTTTCGCTGTGTTTCAAGGGATTCGGGGTTTAGGGTTTAGAGGTTAGAGTTTTAGGGTTGGGGCTGAGGGATTTAGAATTTAAGGTGTTGGGTGTAATTTGTTTCTCAAGGTTTAACCCATTGGTTGTCTAGGGCGTTGAGGATGGAAGGAGGCTCTGTAGGAGTTGCAACTGGCTTTGTGAGCTATTGCCATGTTCCATAGCTGATTCTTTTGGAAGTACTAACCCTATAGACCTTAAACCCGAAACCCTGGGAAGTTTGCGCCTGTTTAGGCATCATGGCGCTGACGGGATTGCTCATTCGCCTCGTATGGGAGTTTCCGAAAATAGGGGACCCCAATATAGTACCCTAAATGGGCAGTTGTCAATATTAGGGTCCCTTTTCGGGTCCTCATCATAACACGGCACCTAATATGTAGGGTACCCAAAAAGGGACCCTAATTTTGACAACCACCCAAATAGTAGGATCCTTATTATAGGCACCCCAGAATAAGGTACCCCTAATTTTCGTAAACTCCCATATCGAAGGGTGCTCCTTCAAGACCGGGCCTTCTCCTATGACGACTCCATCCCGCGCGTTGTTTAGGTCATGCCAGTGCATCGATCTTATACAAGGGGTATAGTATAGCACGATTTAGGGTTTAGGGTTTAGGGATATAGTATATGGTATGGAACTCAATATATATGCACTTCTTCACGGGCTTTTCCTGGCAGAGAGGTGGCATTCACAAAATCGTCAGGGGATTACCAGGACCCTTGGGGCTAACTGCGTAGCCTGCGCTTATGGCTCTGGATGTACCACGCTGCGACGCCAACCTATCACCCATGTTAGCTTCTTGGGTCATCTACCTTTTCAGTGCTTTTCATTTGGAGGATGAGGCTGAAAAGGCCGATGGGTATTTTACACAGAAACCTACTGGGTGAAGTGTCTGCATCGTCGGACCGCCCGCCTTCTTCGACCAACACAGCTGCACAGTGGCAGAGTGGACAGGGTTATGAACCCTAAGGCTCCATGTACCCATATAGTGTATGTATACTTAGGCCTTAAAGGGGTTCCTTTATGGGTACCTTAGGGTATAAGTATTTTCTATATGGCTACATGGAGCCTTTGGCGAAGGCTCCGAGAGCCCACATGCTTGACATCGTAAACCTCTGATGCTCACGAGCCCTGATCCGGCTCAAACTTTTGGGTTTAGTTCAGGCTAGCGGCTACCTGAACTCGCCAATCTCCTTTATTAAAGAGGGAAGCCAAAATCTACTTATTTTAAAAAAGGGAAGCCAAAATCTATACTTTTTAAAGAAGGAAGTTTGTAGGGAATCAAATTATGGAACGTTGACAAAGCAGGTTCTCTGGGATCCTGGCAAGCGTTGAACGCTGAAACTGAAAGCCCTAAGCCCTAAGCAAACACCAAAAGGCAAGGCTCAAGGTTTTGGAGTTGGAGTTGGGAGTTTTAGGAATAAGGATACCAGGTACCACCACCTCAAGGGTATCTGAATATGTTCCAGTTTCAGGGTGTTTGCTCCTGCAATTAGTTCCCTAACTCAAGCATCAAACCCCAAATTTCACAACCCAAATGCTAAGCTTCCTAAACCCTAAACCTGCAAACCTAAATCCGTAAGCGCCTGCAACCGCGACCCATGGCACGAAACTTGAGATTCAGAGCACGAGAAGGCCCTAACGGCAGGATCTTTGATAGTAGCAGGTTTAGGGTTAAGCGTTGAAGTTTAGGGTTTACTATAGGAGCCTTAATATTTACCTATACTATTTTGGCGGCTCCTTAGGAAAATTATAGTATAATGGGCCCCAACACCCTATTCTAAATTAAAAGCCCCCTATAGTTTGGAGTTGGGCTTTAGGGTTTATGCGTCAGTCATCAGTCCCTAGAGGAAGCCCTGTTTCAAGCTTGTATAAAGCCCGGACACAACCACAAAGCCATAGCATCCTACGAAAGCATGTTGAAAGTTACACCCGTATAAAGCCCAAAAGGTCCGAAGCAACTACATAGCACAATGTAGGGTTTCTATATCAGGTCTTATTAGGCGATATTAATATGATTTGGGGATGTCTTCCCCTGTAACAGTACGTCGACCCTGTGGGAAACGTCTCGCGCCAGTTATTGCTTCCTTGGCTTCCTGTTCGTCATAAGCGCGGTGGGCATCATGATCGCCAAAGAGCACGGGGATCCCAGACCATAGCTAATGGTTTGGGTTCTAAGCAGGTTGACCGTGGATTCTAGAACTGACGTTCTCGTATAACTAGCCAGATAGGATTTGAGGAGTATTCCTCAAAAGGGGTAATTACATTGTATTTTCAGGGTAGCTTTGCTAGTTTAGGGCATAAACCTCCACTTACCTACCACCTTTAAGATTTAAATGAGGAAATCATCTGAAGGAATCCCAAAAATAGATTTTTAAGGTACAGGTGCAGTTTCGGCTGGGATGTCTGGAATGTGGGGTCGAGAGGTTGTTTGGATACCTTAACCTACCAGAGGCTACTCGGGACCTTGTACATTTCATGTTGATTAGGAAACCATGTTCTAGTGGGCTTTGGAGCCCTGAGTATAAACCAGAGAGAAGTTTGACAAAGAGCTCTGACGACGGGCCTGATAGGGTTCCTTTAAGGCTTGCAAGGTTCAATAAGGCACTATAATGTTTTAAGGACTTAGGGCTCTGCGTACACGGCTTCGGGTGGGTTCATCCCCCTTCACTTACTGCCGGTGGCAGCAGGCATCACAGGAATCGTAAGGCAACGTTGAGGGATTCTCGAACCGAGGTGTCTGTATATTGACAAAGCCTGTGGCCTCGAACATGTGTTCCTGTTGAATTTTAGGGGCTTTGGATTTAGGGGTCTTGGGTTTGGGGTTCAGGGCTTAGGGTTTAGGGGTTGATACCGTACCTGAAGCTGCCTGGCAGCAAACTCCAGTAGCACGACGGTCCGCATGAAATGAGGCCGGACGTGAATGCCAATGATGTGTTCTTCGCCTTCGCCGCGGCCCTATGCGATTTGATCGCTTCGCCCCTGAGTATATTTCTTAATGCCTACTAAGCCCTAAAGCCACGTACCTTATTTAGACCCGGATATAGAAGCCTAACTAATGAGCACTCTTGGAGTATACGATAACAGATCAAAAGCTGTACTCCCCGATATTACAAGCCTTCTGCCGACAGCGAACCTTCGACCTGGATCCTTTTTCAGGCGTTGTCCGAAGCCGGTGGACTCCTGGCTGCCGGTGCAGGGTTTAGGGCTTAGGGAGGCGAGTTTCGGGCAGCAAGTTCGAACTTGCGGTTCATAGAAGCATGCAAACCCTCTACCCTAAACGATTAACCCTAACCCTAAATTTGGGATTCTAAATTCTCCAAGAAGCTGCTGGTGTTGAACTGCGCTCCCAAGGCCTCGCCCCACCACTATGTGCAGGGGCAGAGCCGAACCCCACGCCTCCGCCCGGCCTTCCCTGAACCCTAAATCCCTTCTGAGTAGCTGAGTGGGTAACCTTTAGCCTTTGGGGCTTGTATAGTCCTAGGTACCGAAATGGAACAGGTTAACCTTGTTATGGGCTAGGGTACTCAGCCCCGAAACCCTCAAAAGGAGCCCTCGGAAGGAGCTCCAAGCACGTCAGGTGGCCGTCTTAGAGCTCCTGTCCGACAAGCTGATGTTTGCACAGACCCAAGTTTGAGGGTTCAGGGGTTAAGGGTGTTTAAGGGTTTAAGGGTTGGGGGTGGGGGGGGAGGAATTCGGCATTCGGGGTTTGCATGTTTTGGGCTTCAGTGTTGAGGTTTTAGGGAGGGTTTTAGGGTTTCAGGGTTTACCTTAACCCCGAATAACTTACCTTTTTAAGGACTTCTATAAGGAAACCATAATAAACAAAAACCAAACAGGGTAGGTTCTTCAGGCTCCAGGTAGGGTTTCAGCTCCAGGACTTGGGACTTCAAGGTTTGCAAAGTCGAGTAAGGGTTCTTAAAGGATCATGGGAGTCAGTAACTAGGGTTATAATTAGGGTCACGATACTTATAACCACTTGTAACCCCATTCAGGTACTTATAACCTTACATACTAAGTCCCATGATCCTCCAAGTTGAGGATCTTGGTCTTTTTGTGAACACACAATCAGCGGCTGAAAGCCGGGTCTCGTGGGGTTCGGTTCGGTGTCTGCCAGGGCTTGGGGAGTTTTATGGATCGGAGTTTGCAAGTAAGATGGATGTCTGGTTGAGGGTTTCGGAGTTTTGGTTGAGGGATTATGGGTTTAGGATGTATAGGGTTTCTCGGTTTGGGGATTCAATGCGTCGGGTCATATCCTATTAAATGCGTCGGGTCATATCCTATTAAGTTGAACCGCGTGATTTGAAGGGTATGGGAGGGTAAATATGTGGGAGTTGTTGGCTGAGGGGCTTGGTCTGGGGTTCGGACGAAGGACGTTGTGATTGGAAACTCTCGATTTGGTCTTGGAGTGGCAGGAAAGGTAGTCCCGAGTGGCTTTCAGTGCGGTCGAGTCACTAAACCCATGTTGAGAATCCGAGTGAAATTCAGCTACTTGGAGGAATTTCTATCCGCGGAACCTAAACCCAAAGCCAGACCCTGAACCCTAAACCCTAAACCCAGAACGTAGACCAACTGCCGAGGTGCTGACACAGGTAGGCATCATTTTAGGCCGGGCGTGGCTGGGTCGGGGACTTCTGTGGTGGCAAGTAGAAGCTCTGGTAGGCTGTTAGGATATGTGGCCTACTTGGAGGTTCATGGGTAGTTATAATAAGGGTTCCCTTAAGGGTCCTTTAAAGGGATCTATAGGGATTCTATGAGGGTATAGGGTTTAGGGCCTACTTGGAGGTTCCTGGGTAGTTATAAGGTGGGGTTACAAGTCCCCTACAAAAGGGTTATAAGTATAGTTAGGATATGTGGCCTAGAGCAGTTTAGGGTTTGGGTTAGGGTTGCCATGGTTGATGTTGGCTGCCCTTCAGACGGCCAAGATGCTGCACTTTGGGACATGACCTCATCCCACAGTTGAGCACACAATTGTCTGGATGTTGTCGACATCTCATTCGTGATCCGAAGCTTCGATGGTGGGGTTTGAACCCTGAGGGTCCATGTGCCTATATGACTATATGGTATATATCGTGTGGTCTTAAAGTATTATTCCCTGGGGCTCCAAATAGCCCAAAGTAGGTATTATTGATAGACTTTATAGACTTTAGGCCCCCAGAAGTAGGTACTATTTGTATAATTACTTGGAGCCCCAAAAAATTCCCCACAAAGTACTTTAGGGCCAAAGTATATGCTACATGGATGCATGGGCCCTTGGAGCGCACTTGGGACCTCGTTCAGGCCAAGCCTCCAGCGCACTGACTAAACCACTACTTGGAGTGTCGGTGGACTTAGTAAGTAGGTAGTAAGTAGACTTATAAGTACCCTATTAAGGACCCTAATTGGGGTTATGGTACTTATAAGTCCCTAAAATAAACAGTTACTAAGTCCCCCGACCCTCCAAGTGCTGTATGTAAGTATTGTCAGTAATGTTACACGCATCAGGGGCACGAAGCAACGAAGGACCGAGAGTCTTTGGTCTGGCAACCTCGCAGAGCTTGCAGTCCAAGAACTCTGGGATTCAGATAGCTGTACTCCGGAGCCTGAGAAAGTGAGAGATTCCTAGCAAAACCAAGACACTCCCGGTAGCCGAATCATCTTCAGTCTTGAGCCTTCCACAGCCCAAGCCGTCCGGCCATAGATTCTAGATTCCTGCACAGCAGGAATTCTGTTTGCTTGGGTCATTCGGAAGAAGATCGTGTCTCTATTAGGTGCGGGTCTCAGGTAACGCTGCGGAAGTATTTGTATTCACAGCAAGCTGGACTTGTGCAACGACAACAAGAGCAGCACGTGACGTCTGCCATACTGGTGAGTAAGAGTAGCAGCGATGCACCTGCTGCTTCCGCGGTTGCGCAGTTCCACCTCATACCCGTGGTTGTAGCATGACCATCTGCTGCGAGACAATTGCTATAACACTATTGCCACGACTGTTGTTTTGCCCTCTAATTTGAACTATTGCAGCTGCTTCTATTGCTACTTCTACTGCTACGACTCCACTGCCGCAGCAACAAGAACAACAGCAACGAACATGTCCGCGTGTGCCGCTGTCATGCATGTAATGCGCTCATCCTGTAGTACCTCAGTTTGACTTTACACAGGAATTCTTGAATGAGCTCAAGCTCCGACGGTATCCAACATCTTCCTTTCACGCTTCGTCATATGCACGGATGTTTCATGCATAGCACACTCAAGATTATTGGGGTAGCCATCTGGCTTGGAGTGTAATTGCATCCCCAAACTATTCTGAGATCCTTACTATACGACCAACAACGGCAGGTTTTGAAATGTTATGGCTACTCGCAGAGCATACGTTTTAAGATCTTGGGATTAGGATTTCGGATTTTCTCTGTAAGGCTTCGGGCGTCCAGGCTTCAGGGATGCAGGGTGGAGGATGGTGCAGGACTTTGTCACCACCCCCCCATTAATCCCAGGAGCCCGCAATCAGACCCCTATCTATCTACCTACCTATCTATCCATCTATTTATCTGTCTATATATGTGTATATATATATATATGTATGTATGTATACATATTCATATATCTTCTTATTCATATATTCCTACAAACTTTAGACCCCCAACTCTCTACTGTTTGTATACTTGGAGTCTTAGAGATCGCCTGAGGTTTCGACCAGCAGCTCGTCCGGGGCGACCTTCGCGACATGCTGACGCTCTTCCAAATGGAGCGTTTCCAGACCATCGAGGCGCTGTTCTTAGGAAGGAGGCCCTGTTTTTAAAGGGTCCGAAGTAGCTAGATTATATGGTAGTTTTCCGAAATTTAGGGATACCTTATCTTGGGGTTCCTTATAATAAGGATCCTACTATTTAGGGTGCTATATTAGGGTCCCCTATTTTCGGAAACCCCCCATATATGACAGAATGTAGGCTTTCTATATCAAGAATCACTGTATGGTCTGGGTACGTATCCTCCATAACAGTACCTAGGACCCTTTGGGGAAGCGCTGTTAATACTGCGGAGACATCAGGAATAATACCCTGAGAACTACAACGAGGATCCTAAGGCAAACGCCCCGAAAGATGACTACCCATGGCCCCAGAGTAGTTCCTTGTTGGGCTTACCTTATAGAATTCTAAATCTGAGCCCCAAAAAGGAACTACTTTGGGGCCTTGGGGCTAAGCTGATTAAGTGACTCTTTGATGGGAACCCTGTAACAAGAAAGGACTGTGCTACATTTTTCGATCCAGGCGGGCACATTGATATGGAGAAGTTAGGTACGGCCCCCGTACAGTAAGAGTCTATAGTAGGGCTACTACTAAGGTCCTACTATATCTACATTATGAATATTACTCAACTATTACTGAGTGTGAGCCGTACCCAATGGAGCAGGTTTACATCAAGGATTTCAGTGAGTGCCTATACAGCTCGCTGGGGATCTTGGGGTGCTGCGGGCATATGGGAGTTTCCGAAAATGGGGGACCCTAATATAGTACCCTAAATAGTAGGATCCTCATGATAGGGACCCCAAAAGCAGGTACCCTAATTTTCGGAAACTATCATATTTGCAACAGAAAACAACGCTACTTGTCACGGGCCTTTGTGGCCTTCGATTCTAGGTTGGGGACCTCCGACTCTTAAGTCTGTGGCTCAGGGTTTAGGGTTGAGGGTTTATAGGGGTTTAGGGTTGAGGGTTTTGGGGTTGGGGTTTAGGGTTCAGGGTTTCGAGATGAGTCGGGCCGTCTTGCAGAATGTCCAGGTGACGATGTGGAAGATCGAAGGCACGGGTCTGAGCGATTTTCACGGGGCTTTGGGAATGGTTGCCCCAAAAGAATAAACAGACCGGCTAGTAGACCTTCTTAAACAATTCCTAAGGATATAGGTATAGGGCTCTGTCAATTATTTCTAAAAGGACAGGGGTGGGGGCACAGGGGTGTCGCAATGCCGTGGTTACATGAAAAGCCCTGAAGTCTGTCAGCAAATCCACATCCTAAACCCTGAACCCGTGGCAAGAG